TTCAAAAGGACCATTTGCTATTTTTTTTAGTCATTTTTACGCTGTGGCACATAATAAATGCCACTAAAATAATGCAGCTCGCGGTCCTGAAAAGTCCAACAAGATTCAACCAGTAAAACTAACTCTAGATGATTTATTTATTATAAATAAAAAGGTTTTTTTAATAACTGTTTTATGTTTTGCGTAGTTTGAAAAGTTTAACACATTTGAAACTATTCTTTTTTCTAAGATGAACAAATGAAATAATTAAATCATTGAGTTACTGTAGAAATTCAATTAACTAGATAGAAATTAACTTAAAACGTTAAATTACTTAGTGAGGAGGAAGCGGAACAGCTTCACATTACCGCTGTTAAGGTTTAGTGAGTGGGCTTTATAATTTTAATTAGTATTTAAAACAGAACAGAGTTAAGTATAACGAGTTTGTTAGAATGGCTGAAGCAAAAATAATTGAAATTAGTTAACTAATTTCTAAGAACTTTTAAAAAAAACTTTTCTTTCTAAGAACTTAATAACATAAATTTAAAACTTTTATTTTTGAAAACAATTAATGTTAATTTAAAACATTTATAGCTTTGTAGATGTGGCTTCGAGAATGACATAGTATTAAATTAAAAGTTCGTTAGATAGTATATTGTTAAAACAATTTATGCTAGAAAACTTGACGAAAACATAACAAGACTCAAACAATACAACTTTAAAAGAAAAAATTTAACAGAATACTCTAGAACATTCGGTTAATATTTTTTGAATACTCTAGAAATTTCTGTTAGTAATTTTTGGAACCAATAGAACTAGTTGTTAGTAGATTTGGCGGGTTTTTTGAGTTCGCGAATATTCTTTTTTTTATTTTTCCGCACAAAGTTTGAGAACATTTGAGTTTATGTATGTTTCCGTTAAAGTCCGTAATACAAAATATTCCAAGATTTAAGATAATTTATTAATTATTTTGCGAACAAACAAAGAAACATACGTGAACTTGAATGTTCTCAAAACGACTAAAAAATCTGGTCTAAACTAAATATTATTTCCGTGGTCAGTTATCGAGTGCGATCGCACCCGCTTCCCGACCAAGCCATATATTTTATTATAATATTATTAATATATAATAATATATAATATAATAATAATAATAATAATAAAATATATATATATATATATATATATATATAAATAAATATATATATATATATATATATATATATATATATATATATATATATATATATATATATATATATATATATATATATATATGTATATATAATACATATAATAATATATATATATATATAACATATAACAAAACTATATATATATATATATATATATATATATATATATATATATATATATATATATATATATATATATATATATATATATATATATATATATAACATATAACAAAACTATATATATATATATATATATATATATATATATATATATATATATATATATATATATATATATATATATATATATATATATATATATATATGTATATATATATATATATATATATATATATATATATATAAAATAATACATATAATAATATATATATATATATATAAATATATGTATATAATAATACATATAATAAAACTATATATATATACATATATATATATATATATATATATATATATATATATATATATATATATATATATATATATATATATATATATATATAAATATATATATATATATATATATATAATAATAATAATAATAATAGTAATAATAAAACTATATATATATATATATATATATATATATATATATATATATATATATATATATATATATATATATATATATATATATATATATATATATACATATATATATCTATATATATTTGTATATATTTATATATCTAGTTTTCTAAAAACTTGTCCAACCAATTTCCTAAAATTAGCAATTTCAATTTTTTTTTTTTTTTTTTTTAGTTCTTTATTTGTCATTGTCATTTGTCAAGTAATTTGAACCGCACCTTTTCAACCAGAGGGAGCTGTATGGCAAATAAAAGATTCAGAAAATTTAGTAATAATATTAAATTTCTTTACCCGAAGCTTAGCTTTTGTAAACTTTAGAAATTATTTAAAGAAATAATTGATGAATTCGGAACTACGGTTTCTAATGTTTTTATATTGTTGTAATGTTTGTATTCATTCCATGTTAATTTCTGTAAGTCAAAACTTTTAGGTGTTTCCATAATAAACTCTGCTATATCTGAAATTTAGTCTGAATAATTTTAGTCTGAATAAAAATTAAATTATTCATAAGTCTGAATAATTTAATTTCTAAAATCTGTTTTGCATTGCTTGTCTTATAACATCTTTACTTGAAACAAAAACCAAGTGCTTTAAAAATGAGCTAGAAGCTTTCAACCATGAAGAAAATATTGCATTCGCTAATCCTAAAAGTATAATAAACCTGTCAGCAAAACCAGCTGTCAGTAATCCAAGTGTTAGCATCATTAAAAATTCATCTTTGCAGCATAACATATATTTTCGTCTAATTGGTTATAGGTTTTTTTAAATTTTAAAAAACAGCAGTAGATGTTTTTTAATATAACTTTATCTTCTTTTGATTAATGCTGATACTGCACTAATTGATGAAACACATTGACAGATGTAAGGCCAGTATAAAAGTCGCAAGATATATCATTTTTAAAATAAATGTTTGTATACAAATAAATTGCAATAACACTACTTGTTTGGATTATGTTTATATACAAATTTGTCTGGTTTCATAGTAATAACTGATGTGGTTGAAGTTAATTTTTCATATAAATCCTATTTTTTTTTATTTCGTGCTGATGTTCTTTTTTAAAGTTATCAAATTCCATTTTTATATCTTGATGCTCTATTATAAAAGAACGCTTAAAATTAAATTCAACATAATTTAATGAATCATTTTTTGAAAAAGTTTTATTATTTACATTTAATAATAGAAGTCTTTGAGCATTGTAGCCCAAGTTAAACGAAAAACATCGATTTTTAAACAATAATGCTCTTTCAGGAAAATCGTCTGAACATGTTTTCAATCTCTTGAAAACTCTTTATGGTTTAAGTTCAGTATTTAAATTTTTTTCCATTATAAATCCCTTAACTTAAACCGTTGAAATAATGTTTAGGTTTTTACTTCCGTTTCTGTGCGCGCATAAATTTTATATCGGAACTGTGAAAAGGTGTATTGTATTTTTTGTCAATAATGATTTAATGTTGCAATAACGTTAAATAATCAACGTTTAAACTGTAACGTTGATTTAACGTTGAAATAACATTAAATAATCAACGTTTAAGTTGTAACATTGATTTATCGTTGTGTATATATTTTTATGTATATATATATATATACATATATATATATATATATATATATGCATATATATACATATATATATATATATATATATATATATATATATATATATATATATATATATATATATATATATATATATATATATATATATATATATATATATATATATATATATATATATGTATATAAATTTATAATTTGTGAGAAATAATTTATATTTCAAGGTATATGCTAGTGTAAAAGGAAAGCTTCAGTATTATGCGTATTTATCTGCGTGCATTTTAATAATATAATTTTTATTATACTAAATACTTTTTTTTTTCTTTTTTTTTTCAACCAATACAAAAAGAAAGTTAAAGTAGGGGATTATTTAATTTTTTTTTATTAAGTCTTTAGAAAAACGTTTTATTTTATTTTAATTTAAAGTTAATAAAAATCAGTTCGGAATTAAAATATTATCAACAAGGAATTAAGGATAATAAAAAAATAGAAGTATAAGGAATTAAGGAAAAATTTATTAATATAATTAAATTCCGTATTTAATTATAATTTGACTTGGTCTACAGGCCTTAAATATTTTGCTGTGACCATGGATTTTCACTTAAATTGCAATAATTATACTTCAAATAATGTCCGCCCATCAATCATTTGAGGGTATTTGATCCTTAAGTATTTTAAAAGTCGTAATCGACGTAGTATCGTAAAAGATCAAACTACGAACATAAGACTGAACTTAAAATTTTGCTCTTAGGTTCGATCGCCAAACCGCACTGTAATGACTAAGGCAGTAAAATAAGTGAAAAGGCGTTTTACCAAGAGAATCGTTAAGCTAAATAACTTTTCATCCTTTTAAAGACTTTTTTTGGTTTGATACTATTAGATATTCGTCGCTTTAAGCAAGACATGATTACATGTTATAAAATTCTGAACAATTTATTTTGCCTAAACATATTAAGTTTCTTTTTAATAAAAAACTATATTTAAACTCGAGGTCACAAAATCAAATTGCGCAAACTAAAGTGTAAACTGGATGCTGGATGTCTGCAAACACTCATTCTGACGCAGGGTCGTAATTTTTTGGAATAACTTGCAGTCATACGTTGTTAATGCCAAAAACATCAAGTATATATACATATATATATATATATATATATATATATATATATATATATATAAATATATATATATATATATATATATATATATATATATATATATATATATATATATATTTATATATAAGGGGCTTTATAATAAATCAAATTATGTCTTCTTCTTGACTCTACTATTTGTATATATTTAATGTTTAACTTGAATATAATAATAAGGCAGATATTACATACTTAACCCCTATAAGGTAAAAAATTATATCAAAAATGATCATTTGTTGTTTAATTTAATACCTTACAATTATAAAGTTAAAGGTTAGGGTGAGGATATGCGGTTTGCCTTTAAGGTTGCTTTCACCTTTTATTTCTCAAAAGGCATATATAACCTATAATTGATATAATAGTCTTGTAATAGAGCCTCGCCATCGTCTTTAATGAGTGACTTATGCGTGGAATTGAACACCGAACCTTGGGATTTTTAATTAGGAGGTCAATGCCAAATTTAGTTTTGGGATCACGATGTTGGAGTATTTGAATAAATAAATATTATGCAGAACACAGTAATTTATTACTGAACATATGCAGTTACAAAATTTTAACAAAATTTTACAACTCTAAGTTTACTGTAAGTACCTTTATTTACATTATAACTTTCATAATATAATTTTACCAAAAAACTTCCTCATTAGTTCGTTCCTGGATTGGTCTAAAGTTATCACAAAGCTCCATGTTTGCGTTATTTAAATTCGAGCGAAGTTGCCGTAAGGTGACTAACTAAATTGTTTAAAAAAAAAATCATAAAAGAAGTTAATTAAAATTAAACTGTTTCCATGACAGAAAAATGGACTACTACTACTACTACTACTACTACTACTACTACTACTACTACTACTACTACTACTACTACTACTACTACCACTACTACTACTATTACTACTACTACTACTACTACTACTACTACTACTACTACTACTACTACTACTACTACTACTACTACTACTAAATATTTTAATTATAAATAAAGAAAAACTCACAAATTCAGTTGGAACTTTAAGTTTACAGCAGTTTGGCAATACAAACCAATCTACGGTCTCCAAACACGGTGGTGCTGTTAATGAGCCACGGTATTTAAAAAAATAATTATGACCTTCTTTAATATCATCAGGTAAGAAGGTTTGTAAGATTTCAGCTAAATTGGATGTTATGGCATATTTTCCTAAATAAGTAAAAAAAAAATTAATTATGTTAAATAACTTTTTTATTTGTTTTTATTATATTGAATTTTTTTTTACACAAAATATTAATAAGAACCAACTAAATTTTTCGTTATTGAAAAAAGTGACATTCACATATGCGTATGAAACACAGTTAAAAAAGAGATACAAAATTTATGTTTTTAATTATGTAAATAATATAATGATATAAAAGCAGTAGAATAAATCCACCTTATCTATTTTTAAAATTTTTCTACATAATAACATTATTTAACAAAGTAATAACTATTTTTTATAACAATTTTATTTGATAAAGCAATATATAGAAAGAGGCGTAGCTATACATTTATACCTAACTTGCATAACTGTCTAGGAAATAAAATGCATATGCGCATGTTTACTTATGTTTTCAAAGATTGGGTGCTATTGCTTTAAAACCCATACGCGAATAAGCATAATTCGTGTGTATTTACGACACATTCCCAAAATATGCTGAGCATGCATCAAAACACAATATTCGTTTATCTTGGTGTTAAAAAATTGAAATAACAGGCAGCGTAAAGATAGCAAATTTACACATTTTTTATAATTGTATCCTTCTTTAGTTCATATTTGATAATAAAATTAGTGTTAAAGCATACATAAATTCATGTATTATATCATGTTTTAGAACTGTTTATTCTCTATATAGTTTATCCGCCTATAATGAATAGCCTATGAATATTAATATTAATGCGCATAGTTACGCGTATTGTTTTATAGTTACGGTGCGGTTCTGTATCTGTAAAATAGACTTTTTAAGTAGTTTCTAGACTTTTCTTTACCGCGTGCTTACTTACAGATTTCCCTTCAACTGTTCATGGTACGAGTTCAAAATGTTTAAGTTGACATTAAGTAGATAATGTTTAGTAGCTTAAAATTATAGGTAATCTAAATTTTTTTTTAAATTTAAAAGTAATTAATTTATTGTAATCTTTTTTAAATTGTAATTTTAAATTTAAAGCTTCGTGTTATAGATTACTTTAATTCTTAAATTGTGTCTAGCGTTAAAATATATTGAATAAATATATTTTAACCAAAACTAAGTGAAAGCATGAAACTACCCATAAATAATTTATGGGTAGTTTCATGCTTTCACTTAGTTTTGGTTATTGGGATAAAAGCCATGACAACATTTTGTTATAAATTTATCTTAATTTAATTTTTATTGAAAATTTTGTTATAAATAAAATTTATCTTTAATATTGTTAATACTTTTGCTCTTTGAAAAAAAATATGGCTCTTCAATAAATATAAAATAATTTGTCTTGCATGAATGAATTTTGGTTTAGGATTTAATTGTGTTCGTTTATGTTTGTCTATCTGTAATTTATTTAGGTTATTAGAAAATTCATGTTTACAGAGTTGTTATTAATCATAATCGAGTTGTTAAACCAAGTAAATTGTGGAGGTTTCATATCATATATACTATATATATTATATAATTATATTGGAGGGAGTAAGTTTAGAAGCATTTTTAAATTTTTAAAAAGAATTAAAAATACTTTTCAATATACATCTGTTTTCTTTAAGGTAGAATTAAAGTTTCAGTTTTTAAAAACTTTAAATTATCTTTACAATGCTAAAATGGTTTAAACCAACTTTAACGGATTTTTGTAAATGAATTTAATCCTCAAAGATTAAATTTTTTTTATAATTGAAGAAATTAAACTAGATTTAAGAATGAGTCGACTTAAATGTTTGTTTGTTTTTCTATTTAGATGATGACAATATTGACGCAAGTAAGTTAAAAAGAATTTTTAAATTTTTAAAAAGAAATAAAAATACTTTTCAATATATATCTGTTTTCTTTGAGGTAGATTTAAAGTTTCAGGTTTTCAAAATCATATATATTTTAAAATCATATATATAACTCAAATATCTTTGTTTTTCTATTTAGACGTTGGTAATAATATGAAACAAGTAAGTTATAAAGCATTTTTAAATTTTTAAAAAGAAATAAAAATACTTTTTATTATATATCTGTTTTCTTCGAGGTAGATTTAAAATTTCAGGTTTTTAAAATCATATTTATTATAAGAATTAAGAATGAGTCGACTTAAATGTTTGTTTGTTTTTCTATTTAGACGTTGGTGATAATATCGAAACAAGTAAGTTATAAAGCATTTTTAAATTTTTAAAAAGAAATAAAAATACTTTTCAATATATATCTGTTTTCTTCGAGGTAGATTTAAAATTTCAGGTTTTTAAAATCATATATATTATAATATTAAATTCTTTTTTACTTTAAAAATATTTATATTATAGTTACACTGGGTCGTCTTTTTAGTTGCTGCTTTTTCTTTGTTTTTTTTTTTTTTTTTTAATTTTGTAATTTTTTGTTTCTGTGTTTTTCCTTTTAATTTTGTAATTTTTTTTTTAAATATATATTACGTTGTATATTTGATTTGTTTTGATCTTTTTTAATGAAAATTTTAACTGTTTTCTCACCAATTAAACCTGACTTCAAATTTAAAACTCTCTTAAATACCCCTCCCTAAAATCTAAAGTCGAAAGTTGAACTGATTCATTATCTAATTATCATAAAATAATGATGCTGCATTCTTTTGTTAAAAACAATTATTTGGTATGTTTCATTTATTGAACTCACTACTTTTAAAATTTACCAAAACCCAAGGCAATATATTTAGCTATATAAATACAATTTATTTATCTCGATTCCATTCTTCATCTTTTATGTTTTGGCTCCTTGAAGCATTTTATGTTTTGCTTTTTTTATTATGAGTATTTTAAATCCGTTGTGATGTCTTTTAAATTTACTAAAAGCCAAGATAAAAGATACGTTTTTGAACAACACCAAAAAGAACAGCTGCATCCCTACAGCAACTGCTGCAGTGTCACAATAGGTTACCAAAAGCAGGTATACTGTTTTCCAGTTGTTGTTGTTTTTTTCATATATATCTACTTATCTATATAATACTATAGTACGATTGTTTATATCTCATTCATTTTTTCTTTTCTTTAAGTGTCAATTTTATTCTTTGAATGAGATTAGTTAAACAAGTCGGCTTTCCAATTCAAGATATTGGTTTCAAAATTGAACACCATTGGCAAAATGCTAACAAAATTAGGTAGTTTTTAAAAATCTGTTTTCTATTTAATACACTTTTTTTTAAATATACTTTTTAATATACTTTTCTATAACAATCCTACTAATATGGAATCACGTAGCTTTCTAAATATGTTTAATTGTCGTCCCTATCGGTAATAAATATTTTAAATTATTTGATATGGTTTTCTTTACAATAGGCTATGCTTGGCTCCTCGGTGCTGTAAATGGTGACTTCAACTTTTTTTAAGAAAAATGTGTTTTATATATGCCTCTGTTTTAAAATATTTTTGTTACATATTTAACTATATATCATGTAAATAAATTTCTTTTAAAGATATGTAAACTTGATACTTGCTTTTTTACGGATTTTCAAAAAGTGAACAAAGCTTTAAATATATTTTTTAACTGTCTTATATGATTTTATCAATTTTATTAAAGCTGAATAATTACTTCAAAAATATTGAGTAAAATCCAATTGCTTTTATTTTTAACCTGACCTATACAAAAATAATTGAAATAAAAATAATAATTTAACGCCAAGTTAAGGCAAAATGTATTCCGGACATTTTATAAAATTAGTATAAATATGGATTGGATGTATGCTGAAATAAATATGTTGATACACGTTAGCTATTAAAGTAAATCCATTTATTCTTTTATTATTTTTCTATAAACAAGTTTCTGCTGGATTACTAATTAAAAAAAGGTTGGTTTAATAATAATCTTTATCATAATAATATAGGATCCTTACGCAGGGCTAAGCCCTTTTCGGAAATGCGATATATTTTTCAACTTATAGTTTTTCCGGATATCCAACTTCTATGCCTACAAGTTTTGGTGTAATATTTTAGATGTTTTAAAAATGTTTAAAAAGTACATTAATAACACTAAAAAGTTTAGGTGCGATAGTGACATATTTTTAAGCTCTTCACTCAGTAAAATGAAAAGTTTAAAAAAAAAGAAACGACTCAGCTTAAAGCAAAACTGAGAGTAGAATATATTCCCAATATTTACCTAAACAATTTTACGGAATTTGAAAATTTGACATCGATGTTCTGTGCATATAATTCAAGTCATTTTTAATTACTACATGGTTGTGATTTGTCTGAACATTGCAAAAGAAATGGTTAACTTTATCTTTAATGAAGCTAAAAGTTCTCTTAAACTAAGAAGCCAAGAAAAATAAAAGTGAGCTCAATTAAAAAAATGTATAAATAAATTTATATTTTATTAGAGAAAGTAAATAAATATCAAATTTTTAGTAATGATTTATCTACTACTAACCCGTATTACGGGTTGCTTACTGCTAGTTCTTTATATGATTCTCCATATAGTTTATTTACTATATTAGTTCTTATATTCTACAAGTTGGAGAGATAAAAATAAACCTATAAGCAGAATCAGCCTTAAAATGACTACTGATACGAGGTGGTATTTTAAATTTATTGCAGTTAATGCTGTAAAGGAAATTTTTGTTTTTATTTTTTTCAGTACTTAATGAAATTCAAAATGATTGCTCTTTTGAAAGCTATTTAAATTGTAGTGCAAATATTTAAATTCGGATAATTTTATTGCAATTTTTATAAAGATGGCATTTTTTTTTGAACAGATTAAACAAAGTAAATAAAAGTTTATCTCTAAAAAAGAGATCAAGACATTTATAAATCCTCTATACTTAAAAAAGATTTTTTAGAAGTAATTAAGTTAATAAAATTTTTATTCAGATTAAAAAAAGTATGCGAACAAATGAAAAAGGATTAATAAATATGTATACAACACAGGTAAAACCACAGATGTCACATTTTTCTTACTTTGAGAAAAATGAAACTTAGTGTTTTAGTGATATTAGATATCTGTTTATTAATAATTTATTTATTTTAAAGTATTTTT